GTGGATGATGCAGAGCAAGTCAGTCACCGTCACTTAGTAGGTGCAGAGGTCCCGTGGCTGTCCCCATGCAGGCCGCAGTGACAGGTAAATCCAGAACCGGATGCTGCTAACCATATTTCACGACTGTGAGCACGATCAGTAGCAGGTAGGAGTTGTAGGGGTTTGCAGCAATTTGACCAGGAGCTGCTTTGCATGAAGCGGGCGCCAAAAAACCACTGAGCCCTGGGGTTCGCTTTCTTACCGTCAGAGATAATGATTGGCGCACGTGCAACACGCATCGAACAGTGAGATTATAGCCCGTAAGTATGTTGTCTCTTATGGATAGGTTTTAAGGAAAGATGGCCATTGACTGCGTTTGGAAAGTGCCAACCAACGTGGTTGGATGGATCACTGAGGCCCACAAAGCATCATACCACATTAAAGTCCAGTCTTGCCGCCATGGTCTAACACAAAAAGTACGTTTAGAATCAGCAGATGGATGCGCAGTGGGAAAAATACATAAACAGCACCCCCAAAAAAGCTTTGAACAAAAGGCATTCGCAGGACAGTGGAACTGCTAGTTATCAAAGTGAATGCAAATGATGAGCATTCGTCGTCACAATGAATTATTCCGTTTGAACCTTTTGAGTTCTGTAAGAGTAAATTGGCAAAGACCAAAGCGGTGGTAAAGTGAAATCGGTTCAGAGGACGGAGATGGGTGAATGCAAAGAGTAGCATCGATGTGGCCATGTACTAATGTCATATGAGTGAGAATGGTTTTCACTGTACTTGCAAAAACTGATTCGCCTCGCCATCTATACTCTGAACTTTGAAATCTGATGGATGCAGCTGCCATAGATCGTAATGGCCCGATAGCGTAGGTAAACATAACAGGTAGAGCAAAAACACAAACAATGTATGGGATCAATCCGATTGGAAAAGTGACCAGAAGAAAAGAACTGCCGGAAGGATAAACTGTAAGAGATAAGAGATCACATGCAGAGAGAAATTCGCTGCACTGGACATGAATACATAGAGGGACGGAAGGATTACAATAAATTCAGAAGCAATTTGTACACCTTTTTGTCATCTCTATGGTGAAGAGGAACCTTAAAAAAAGACGGCGAATTTGTGGAAATGTCACGTAGATCCCGAAGGTAAACCGGCACAAGCCCAACCATTTCAGTAAACCTGGTGTTCAGAAGTGCTACTTTGAGGATGCACCATGCGTAGTTACACGGAGCAAAAGAAGTCAGACGGCTGCAAGAAATGATATAGTGAGGCGGAAAAATTCTAAGCATGGTGAAATAGAGCAGAAAAACAATATGTAATGAAAATGTATGTCACAAATAAAGATATTTACCATCGGACCGGTAAGCATGGGGTCTTTGCCCTTCATTAAATTGTCAGTGCCGATTTCCATGAGCTCATCCACATCCAACCCGGTGCAGAAATCAGTACCTTCGCCGTACAACACGCCACCCAAAATGTCATCATTTCGTTCAAATTCGTCACGTAGCACACAAGTCAAGCGACCTGCAGTGGATAGATTGATCGAATTCGCGTTTTTCGGCCTATTCAAACCGATCAGGATCAATCGACCAATTCGTTGCGTGATCACTGTTGAACAGCCAGATGAATGAGCCTGCACGTATTCAAAACGTGAAGAGAAAATTCACGCAGAGAAGAAGGGGCAGGCCTAAAATCGCATAGATGCCATTCAAACTAGAAATCACAAAGAGAGCATTTTGTGCACTCTCACCAATGCTGATAACGTCAACTTTCAGTTGCGCACAAATGAAAAAGCCGTATGTGAAGATAGAGGAAAAATCCCTCGACGCAATATAGCACATGATCGAAAATGCGAGTTCTTCGGTATCCAAAAGGCAAAGCAGGTCGCCCTGAATCTGTAGAGCTAGAAAGCGAAATGACGGTTGGAAGCCCATGCAACAACCACCAAGTAAATACCCGAAAGGTAACAGTGGAAGACACAGAAGACAACGGGAAAAGTAGTGCCGATGAGACGGAAAGGTAAAAAAGAAACAACTGTAACGTTTAATCAAGTCTCACAGAAACCTTACCTTCTCGCATGTTACAGAATGCCATCGGACCACGTACACCTATAAGCATAGTGACGAAAGCTCAGTTTCCAGTTGAACAACTGTGATCAGAGCACTGAAGTGCGATTGATTCGATTGTTGAGGTTCACATCGACAAAATCAAAATAACTTACAAGAAAAAATGAGGTCAAACGCAAACAGGGTAGGGAAAAAATGAAATTAAGAAAGTGTGTTAAAAATCGGAACGGAAAGAAAATTAGCAACTGGATGCAACGAACGAGTGCATGAACACCATTGGCTACGCGACTGCATCATATCTGAAAGAACACGGTCAATAGTCGATGACGGCTTTAAGGTAAACATAAACAGTAGTCAGTGAACGTGCCTGATGCAATATTTGAAGAAGAATAAATAAGTGATCGGTGCAAACACGACCAGGGAAGTAACCAAGCTGGTAGATAGGAAAACAACTGGGTCATCGAAGGATGATACCCACGGAAAATTCGGGGGCAATAATTTTCGAATGAATCACGGGAGGCAGAATCAGAGTAAAGAATTCTTTTCGGTAATTCTCATCGGACTCAAACATTACATGATGAGGAGAAAGTGCTAAATGTGCCGAATTGGGCTGCGTATTGAACAGAATGTTTAATTCCACGGGTACAAATCAATAAATCACGGGGTCATTGGAAGTGGCAAGTATGTACAAGGGAAATCACAGCCGAAGTTGTAGGCCACGGTAGGAGTAAAGGACGTACAAACCGTTTTTCTACGCACAATTCTGGCTTGAGGTGGCCGATGTAGATAGATTCCGCAATAGACAGAAGATGCATCCGGAATCCGCGCGTGAAACTTTCAGGAACAGTATAGATGACTCTAAAATCATTTTCCGGCCCTGCGTGACTGCACTCAGTGTCCCAAACAGTACTGACAGAACAGTAAATCTGGGTAACAAAGTGCGACTGCCATCTTTCACTAGATTGAGTCTAGTTGACCGATCCAGGAAGAATGCTTCGTTTTGACCCCGCAAACTCATCATCATCATCGGCAACAAACTGTGGCAACCACAACTGGTGGAGCTCTGATCTCTGGTCGAGTTGTATCTCACACACACCGACGACCCATGAATCTGTCACCCATACTTTCCCAACTGAATCATTTGATAAGTCATGTTCTGGAACTCATATTCTATCGTATCTATCTGGTATTGTCACTCTGGACTAGTACAACGTGTAGCCATTTCGTTCAAGCGAATCGGTTCGGTTACGTTATGTGGAGGTCGCATCATATGGCGTACCGACTTTTGTACACTGATGCACGGAAATCGCTGAGGCTTATATTTTAGATGCAACTTGTTAACCAGTACGGCAGATAGCTACCGGATTTATTTCGCGGAATTATCGAGTGGGCAACGCGTTACTCAAACTTTCCAAGCGAAGCAGACGGAAAGTTAATGGTGGATGAGCTGCCGCACCATCCAACACCGTAGGGCAGCGTATAGAAGTGAATCCCCATCGGAGCTTTCCACAGGCAAAAACATTACTAAAATGGGGCGTAGAAGATTGTGTGAGAATATCGGGCCATCGACTGTACTGCTGCACGAGAAATTTATCACAAGCTTTACTTCGGCGGTGCTGCTAAAAAACCGGATTCAGTGAACACCAAGTTGTTCTGCATCTATAGCTACAAGTAATGATAATCCGCTTTTTACATTCACCACATTTGAGACCAGTGTCAGGCCGGTTAACGACAGAAAAACGGCTTCGTGGAGTCTCATGTTACAGAAATTGATTGCGCTGGATTACGCAGACACATGCAGACGCAAGATAAGTCGAACTTGAACCTGACGGTAGCAACCGGCAGTCTGCAAACCTAGGAACTAAGGTCGCAGATCACTGAGACAAACGTGTGCTCTTGCATGACGAAGCAATCTGAGTTCAACGCGTTCGACAAGGAACTGTGATTTATAGCGGGTAAAAAAGCGATTGCTTGACAAATGATGTAGGATGATCGGAGCAAAAATGATAAAAGCAAGGTGAAACAAGTGACAGGAAAGAGGGGGGAATTCCTAATCAAAGCGACAGCAAGCGGATGGTGACAACCATTTGGATCGCGTCAGTTCGCTGAGTGAAACGGATTATATGGCTATGTAAACGGAAAAGCGTGTCGCAAGATGTTTGTTGATAAGTATTGATGTAGGAGCAAAGATAAGGTGAGTTGGAAGGTCTTTCCATGTTCAGGAAACCCGGAGGGCAATTAAGTCGAATGAAGTGCCTGGCCAGGTTAATATTTTGGCTCCGTTACAACAGGTTTCGAGAGGCCTGATATGGGTTCGTCAGTATTACGTATTTAGCACGGGGCCTAGATACTTCAGTAGGCGCAGCGATATTAGCTTGTCGACAGGGAGGCCCGTATTACCCAGAAAGCGACGTCTAACATTGTCGTTGCAAACGTGGTGTTCCCACCCCACGAGCTATCCTACCCAGACAACCGTTTTCAAAGTCTGAAATCCGACACAAATCGTTTACAAGGATCGGCCAGGACTCAGTTCCGTGCAGCAGGATTGCACGAACACAGGCATTGTAGACTATGTCCCTCAGCGTGAGTGAAACGTCGAGACGACACCAAAGATCAATGAAAACTGATGGGGTCTTGACGGTACGGAGGGAAATCTATCTCCCAATGGTGTCATCCGAAGAAAGGCAGCTCCCAAGGTAGATGAAGCAATCTACTTTACAAGCTGCGCATCTTTAAGAAGCAGCACTAGGGCAGGTAAGTGTAACCCTTGGAGTGGGACGCTGTATTTCATGGGGCGAAACCAACGTCACACTTAGTAGCTTCAAACACCAAGTGCTTTGAAATGACCTGCATACCGTGTGGGTTGTCACCGAACAAGATAACATCATCATCACAACCCAAGTCAGTTGCGTGGTTCTCTGGAAGGAGCTCTATGATAGAACCCTGGAGACCTTCCGAAGCGCTTAATAGGACATCCGCAATCGCAAAGTTGAAGAGAAACGGGGATATGAAGCATACCTGTCCACATCGCTAGTGATGATGAGAGGTGACGAGAGCTTACCCTAAGCACACACTCTGCCAGAGACATAGTTGTATACAGCCCGAAGTATGGTGGTATACTGTCCGGGTACCATATTACTTTGCAGACAACACCATAGAGCAGGCCAGACGACCGAGTCGAATGCAGCTGGGGTGTCCAAACTAGGGAACAATGGTAGACTGGTGGTAAAGGTGGCACCGCTTGAGGAGTTGGCGGAGCGTGTGGTGCACACACCATGGACCGAAACGGGAACCAGCCTGTTCCTCATGGGAGTGCAGTTCTCGAATCAGTGTTAGCCTGCGCAGTAGAATGGATGTTAGCAGTTTGGATGCGAGGGATATTAGAGTGATTCATCTGTGGTTGGCGCATAAGGTAGGGGTATCCTATTAGAAAATGGGTACGATAATCGAATCACCCCAAGAGGATGGAAGCTTGACTTCACGCCAGATGTTGGAGGAGGATAGAGCTATCAACCGGTTGACAATTACCTCGCCACCGAACATGTACACGTTCGGATAAAGTCCGCCTGAGGCAGCAGATTTGAAACGCTTCAAGTGACGAAGCTCAAGACAGACCTCAGCTTCGGTAGGTGGTTCATATGAAACGTTCTAAGGCGCGTAAGTTGATCTGTTTGTTGGACAGGAGTGAGGAGGTTAAATGAATTGCGAGTGGAAGCGCTCAGCATAGTGGTCAATGAGCCTACGCAACTTAGTGATTGGTGATCCGTCAACCTCGCAAATAGCTTCACTGACGCCAGATCTTCTGTGGCCAGTGGTCCGAATGATTTGGAAAAGTTTGCGAAAATTTCCAGAGAGCTGTTGTCTCCATCTCCAAGGCACGCTGAGATCACCGTTTCGCGATAGTTACGCAGGCTTTGATTGAGTCGTTGCCTGAGGCTGCGACGGACTTGGTCGTAGCTTAAGTCAGCTGGAATAGCTCGGGGACGGCCAGACAATTCCAAAGAGAGCGCAGAGATCTAGCCTCTCAGGGGACGTACAGGAATTTTACAATATGATTACCGGAAGGAAGAAAGGCCTTCTGTAAGAAATGCTAAGGATGATCGACATTTTCAGGTGGAGCACGAGAGAGCGCATCTGATAAGGAGCATTGATAGGCTAGTTGAATGGAGGGGTTACTATCCCGTTGACATAAAGCGTACGGTGCTTTTGTTTTGATGAACCATATACAAATGTCCGCAAAAGCAGAGCGTGACCTGGGTCGACGTAGGCGGACCAAATCGACCTGGGATCCCTTATACCGCCCAGTCATCTGAAGCTAATTGCAATATGATCAATTTGTGACCATGCTTGTGTTGGCGAACGGGAACGCCAAATGGCGGCGCGTCTCCTCGGATTCCTGAAGTTCGTGCTCGCCAGAAAGAACCTGTTGTTCTCCCATAAAGTGAAAAGCCTAACTACGTTATCACAGCGACTCATCAAAAGCATGACGACCACCAAGATGACGTTTGCATGGCAGAATGCGGCCGATCTGCGCAAGGACGACGACATCGGATTTTTCGACTTCGCTCAAAATCTAGTGGAGTCTGCGATAAAAGTCGTCCTTAACTGATGCACAACTGCGTTCGGTTGGAATGGAGGCTGAAACCACAAACAAACTGCGTCTCTGTACGATGTCTACTGATCTCGCACAGGCCTTGAAGTCAGACCGTACACAATCGGCTGCCAGTCGGGCAGCGACGCCTCAGCTTTGTTACTCACTGCGATAGTAACACCAGTCAGGCCAGCTGCAGCAGCCTCCGTGTCACCAGATAAATGCAGGTAAAATTTGGTACCGAGATCAGCGGGTATGCCAAGTTAACTACGGTACTGACGTTACTACGTTACTGACGTCAGAAAAACAACAGACAGCAATAGTGACGTATTATAGTGTGCGCTAGTCCGGCTTGTTGTCCGATCTGAATAAGAGTTCTAACGTTGAAGACTGGCAGCTGAAATGAACACCGATGCCGAAGGAGGACAACTGGTCAGAATATTAGGACATAAGCCAGACTGTCACCAGAGGCAGATCTAAAGGAATTACTGACGATGATAGGAGTGGTGTGTGATGGAGGTGCGTAAGCAGTGGAGAGCTCAGGAGTGGAAATGATATATTAGTAGTAGTTGTGAGGCCCATAGTTCTGTCAGCGGGACAGATAATAAGTAGTTGCCCAAGCAGAGGTAGGGAGTTGTCTCGGAGGACACCACTAAAAGAGACCTCGGTTGCATAGAATACCCGCCACGCAGCGGAGCGAATTCAGGGAATCGCGCCCAATGGGAGCCGGTGATCGACTACTCAGTTTATACGCCTTTCGTTTCATGCTTAGAAAACCGGGACCCAATTTTCCCACAATTTCAGCCTCGGATAGGTGTGTTTACAATGCTCCAGCAGAGTAAAGCAAGCTGCAATGATTTTATTTAGTGGCGAGTCACTTCCGTCACATCACAGTGTTGTCAAACAGACATCCGTGGCTTTTTATAAAGAGGTCACCTGCCAGGAGAAAAAACAACACGTCCTGCAACACTGCCGTTGAATCACTAGCGAGAACGAGAAAATCCCGGAATAACCCAGCTGGCACCACAAGGTCGTTTGGCAAGCAAGGACGAGGAAGTTGTCGGATAAGAGGTTTACAAATAGGAAAAGGGCGCCAAATGAAAGCACAAGACGATTTAATTTAGAGGAACTGTTAACTACAGGAAAAGCGCAGAAAAAAACGTTGGTTTCTAGCGATTCAAGCATCGAACAGATTAAGGTTTGTAGTAGTCATGATGTGGCGGCCGCGTACAAGATGGACAAGGAAAACCGTACACTAGAACAGCACCACGTGGTATCAGTCAAGGTTAGTTACGAATCTATCAAATTGTTTTCCTGTACGATTCTGTGATGCGTTTTCAAGAGTTAGAACCCGAGGGAACGGAAAAAAGGAAGTCTATCGCAACAACAAGGGCCCTAAGCTAAACGATAACCCGCAAACGACGGGAAGTGCCCATAGAAAAACTTGTGCTTTGGGCCTGTCGACAAGTCAGGAGGCCCCTGAACTCGAGAAATCTGTCAAGTTCTTTATATCCCTGTGACAGTTTGTGTCAAAGAATAGTTTTGTCGAAAATGTGTTTGGCTGTGAGAAGTAAAATGCTAACGAGGGCTAAAAACGGACGAGTAATGGGCTGCACCAGTGAGTATAATAGCACATCCCAACGGGGGCAGAGCGAACACGACAGTTGTGGATAGGGGCGGCTAACTGCATTGGTTTAACCGACGGGGAAACAGTGTTGCAGATGACATACAATACGCAACAGACCGTGACGCAACCAAATATAACAAAATATAAATAAAAGTATATTCTTGATGTTACACGAGGCACACCAAAGGAGGCGTGATCAGTTAGGTAAAGGCCAATAGGCGACGAGTACAATTAGATCAAAGATTAAACTTGACGAAGTAAGTGAGTACTTCAAGATTTACAAGGCAAGAGATGTGGTTGTGATAGCTATTCGACATCACAAGTTAATTCCGTGTTAAAATAGCAAATTGTTTTGCGTATGCGAAAGTGACAATGGGCACGAAAGAATCATTATCATGATCAGTATACACGTTAGCTAGATGTGGAAAACACCCCAGCTACTGTGGTACAATACATAAAAAATGTAATAGATGTTTGCCAGCTGAGCTACCAGTAACGAATGGGCATTGTTCCGGTAAGCTATCAGCCGGCTACTATACAACAAAAAATTATTGTATAAAATTATGTTATACTAAGAAAGATCGTGGCTGGAGCGGAAAGCTAAGAGGGATGGGGTGGGACAAAAAACAGCACGAATGCCATTGTGGTCGGCTCCTAGCATAGTCAGCAAGTGTATCCAGGCAAACGTGTTCAGGGTCTTTCAGGCACCAACCAGGGAGTCGTGAGGCTCCAAGCGAGGCCAGCTTCGAAGTGAGGGTTTTCATTCCTCTGGAACAAATCATCGCTTGGCCACCCCTCCTCTTCTTCCATCCACACGCCCGGCGCGCAAACGACACAAGACAACGCAGGCCGGTGGGCTGGCATGCGGAACATGTGGCCAAACCATCGGAGCCTGGTGAGTGAAATAACGGTGCTGAGCGGTTCATTCCCTCCTTCTGTGCTGTAAACAAGGCGTCAAACATGCTCATTGTTCACACGGTGTCCCAACTAGATGCGAGCCAAATAGCGAGGGAACCGATGGTCCAGCGTAACCAGCCACTTTATGTCAGCTGCACTAAGGGGTCAGGTTTCACAACCGTAAAGTAGGGTCGAACATACGGGTGCATTGTACACTCTACTCTTCAGGGCGAAAGTGATGTCGCGCCGGCGCCATAATTGATAAAGGTTAGCAAAAGCGCCTCGACCTTTTGCTATACGGTACGTGACCTCATATTGATCCCAAAAGCGCGGATACAATTTCGCAAATAGATGAATTGTTGAACGACTTCTAATTGATCCCCACCAAAGGTCAGCGCAGGCAGCCCTGGCAATGCTGGAAGAAAGCTTTGCATTTCGAGGGTGCAAAGCAAAGCAGGAAGAGGGTGACAGCCCGTGCTAATCTGCCCAAAAGGTTAAGGAACGGGAACACGCGAAGGGGTGCGAGCCGGGGCTGGAGGTCTGTTTGCAGCAAAGTAAAAAAGGCATTTCATGAAGCAAAGCGCACGTGGAACCAGGACATACAAAACTAAGATGCTGTGTCCAGCAGGATGATTAGTTTATCTTAAATAGGTAGAAGAGCTATTTCAGATGGAGCAATGGAAAGTGAGAAGTAGAGCTGGACGCTCTTTTACAACGAGCATTTGAAGGCAATGTAGCGAACAAAGGGCACGCAAATGTCAGTATTTACGAGGCTTAGACGCTGCAACGCACTGGGTGATGCAGTTGTTCTAGTTTATTAAAATAGGGCTATGTCAGATGGAGTAATGGAAAGCAACAGGCGAGGCTGGATGCCTATTTATAGCGAAGTGAAAACGCATTTAATGATGATAAACCTATGTGAAGATCTGTGGATACGAGACTAAGGCGCTGCGTCGCGCAGGGTGATTCAGCCATCCTAGATTTCTAGGAGAGGCTGATTAACTGAAAGAAAATGGTGGGGCTAGACGCCTGCTTACAGCAATGTGAGAAAAGCATTCCATGATTAAGGGTACGTGAAGATCAGTTTATACGAGGATAAAGCGTTGCGCCGCGCATTGTGATTTAGTCATCCCAACTTGTTAGGAGAAGCAACCGATTATAGGCAGAGTAATGAAAGCAAGTGGGGAGTCAAAAGGACTGAATGAAATAGGTGAATACGTGAGCAACAATGTTTGCGACACTGTCACACTGTGTCGCTCTGATTGATTAAGTCGCCCTAGTTTGCTAGGAGAAGAGATTCA